CTAAAGGCTCGTGATTCCTTCCCAAAGTCCAATGGCTGTTCTTTAGTGAAGGTCCAGGATCTGGACCTCACAGGCCATCTCACAAGGACCCTTGAGCCTCGCCCCAACTGACCTCAGTTGGTGTTTTAAATAATATCATTTTCTGTGCTAACAGTTGCCGTGGACATTTTGTTTTGGTTTTGTAAAATAACATTTCCTTGTATATATTAGCTGCATAGTGAAAATAAATATCCAGGTCCCAGACACATTGTGAGGGGGCTGATGTTCATTTTAGAAGATGCTTCGGATTCTTTTGTAATGTTTTGCAGGCCTCCCAATTCGTTTTTGCCTTTCTCTGCTTGTTGTCTAACCTCTGGTGTTTGCTCTTCATTAAATGAGAAAATGGCTTCTGAGGCAGTCAGGAAACAGTTACAAAAAACTATGGACAGAATATGTATGAAATATCCAACGTGGGGAAGTCCTTGGGCAGATGTGAGTGTATCTCAAACACAAAGAAAACTCTGAGTTTGTAGATTGAGGATTCTCCATTTTGCCTAAATTCTCAAACCCGTGAAAGCTTGCTATTATTGGTGGGGGAAGGGGAAGGGTCAAGATTTGAGACTCCTCAGATTTCAAAACAAAACATCTCTCTGCCAAATTTTGGTCAGCCTTTTCAGGACCAAGCTACATCCTAGAAAGATCCCCTAGGCAATTGCACCAGGAGTTCAGCAGGCTCCCTTGGGAATTCCACCCTCTGCCTTTGGAGCCTGGAGCTCAGTCAAGTAAAGCCAGGGCCTGCTTGATACTGATCCCTTTGAAAACCCGGGCTCCTAACTCATGGACATAGAAACTAGCTTTTAATTTGAGGAAGAACAATAACCAAGACCAATGCATCTCTAATACTGAATAGTCAATGTTTCAATTCCCTTCCTGGGAAACAAATTTGATTTATACATAAAATATTTTTCAATTAAAAAATTTGCACACAACAATTGGAAGGTAAGAAAGAAGAAGGTCTTGTAGATAGAATGTTTCCGCATCTGAATGGGCAGGGAGGGAGCGGTACTGAGCCAGGTTTCTGGAGTCCAAGTCTGTATTGAGGTTTTCTCCTCGAAAACAACTGAACAAAGGCAGACCTTAATGCTGAGACCTTGAGTCCAGAGGGCTGAGAATGGAAGAAGAAATCAGACTTACTCAGACCCAGGCCCTAAAACAAAACATGCAGGCTTATTTCCTAGATAGATACGACACTAAAGCATCATGTTTCTTCTCTGTAGTCTGGGATGGAGGAGAATATTCCTAGAGGCCAGTTCCAGAAGAAAATTAACCTAAATATAAAATCTTATCTGTCGGTCCAGCGGTGTTTTCCAAAATGCATCCCCTTTACTGATCCACACAAATTCAAAGACCACGGATGTCTCCTTCCCTAGCTGAAGTACTGGCAAAAATTTGGAACCAGGATGAGAAACAAATGCCAAAAAGAAATGATACTGAAATCTGATTGCTCAACATTCCCTCGTAGAAACATAAATGCTTCTTCTGAAACGCTGCAGTCCATGCGGCCTCTTGACCAAGAAAGAGGTTTTAAAATGAAAAAGAACGGTTTATTCTGCTGTTCAATCCGTTGATGGCTCTGAAAGCTGAAGGGGGGAAGCTTTTAAGGCCCCAGGGTTCTCCCCTTGGGAGGCAGGCTAGGGAGGCTTCCTAGATGCGAGCTAGTGGAGGAGAAATCCAGAATCGTTGTAAATATTCATGTCTGGTGGTGGGGGAGGGAGGTGTGCCCCATCACTGGCCTCTCCCAGCTGCATCCACTCCCCTCAGTGGTGGTGGGGGGCACAGCACCCGACCGACCGTCCTTGGACAAAGGTGATCTCCCCACATTTTTTTGTTTTGTTTTGTTTTGTTTTCCAGTCTCTACTTAAGAAATCTTTTCCGTAGGCTCTGCGGGGAAGGAACTGGCTCTGGGTGTTCCCCCCACACACACCACCACCTCCCCTGCTTTTCTCTTCTTTCGTTTCCTAAAAGAGCATAAATAATTAAAGTTTGGCAGGGAGGAAAAGCTTTCTTGCAGAACTGTAGTGGTAATAAATGAAATGACTCAGAATCCCTTTCCCAGTCAGCTTTTACGAGAGCTGCCAGACAGTGTCTGTTCACGTTCTCCAGATACCAGGGGCGCCCTGACAAAGTTAAGGTCAAGTTAGTGTCTTATCTTGGGTGGCTCAAAATTACCGCATCGCGTCTACGCGCTGCGCAGAAAGCTATCGTTCTCGGAGCTGCTGGCCGAGCCCCGAAGGCCCTGTGTGCTCCCTGTGGTTCGGGTAGGACTCCATAAGCAAGGACGAGGACACAACCGGGGTCTTCACGGTAGGTTCTCTGGCGAAACGCGCGGGTCCAACGGCTGTGGATTTTCCTGTTGTTGTTGTGTGTGTATGTGTGTTTTTTCCGGGTGGGGACCAGGGCAGAGAGCTGGGGCTAAACAGCAAAGCAGTCTGGGCCACGAATGAATGCTCTGGGTGCTGTGTGGGGGGCGACTTGCACGTTAAGGCGCACGGAAGGGGGGGGTGCATCGCCCCTTCCCCAATGCGCCAGCGCGCCGCTGCAGATGGCGCACCCTCCCCTGCCAAAGCACGGCTCCCGCCGGAGCTGCCGTCGCCATGTCGTTGAACTTGAATGGTTCGTCCTTTCCATTTCCCTTTTCGGGCGGCCAGCAGACTTCACTTTAGGGGTGACGGTGTGCCTTACAACCCACTCGGTGGGGTGAGCAGAGGGAAGGTGCGGGAAATTTTTTGCATCCTAAGACGTGCAAAGATTGGGGGACCCCGCCGCTGCCTCCCGTCCTAAGCGACCCCAGGAACACTGTGCAGTGTCTGGGGAGCCATTTTAGGAGACAGATCCAGGGGCGTCGACCAGGAGTCAGAAAGGGAGAGACTTAGGACTAGGATGGAGATAGGAAGATAGATAAAAATGCGGTATGGGGCGGGGGGGGGGGGCGCTCTGGGCTAGGAGAATGGTGCCAGCAGGACCCTGGGTGGGGGTGGAAGATGCAGGGAGGGGTCACATAGGATGCACAGCTGGGTGAGAGAAAGCTTGGTGAGCTCCAGTCATCACTGCCACAGACCTGTTGGCGCAATGTTGGGGGAAGGGGGGGAAGCAGACGTGGGAGGGGGCGGAGGAAAGAGAGGAATGGAGAACGGAGGGAGGAGAAAAAGAGGAAGGGGCGACATCAGCTAGAAAATAGATATTAACTCAGAACACTCGCCTTTTCTCTGTCAGTCGGCTTGGTGCACAGAGAGCACTGGACCCGAACTGTAGCGGCCTGGGGAAGGAGAGGGGACCAGCACACGGCCAGAGCGGCCTAACCAGGGCATAGGGCCTCTATGCGGGGGTTCCTGGGAAGAGGAATACTGAGAAAGGAGACAGGCTGCTGCCTTTGGTGTTGGGATTTGGATTTGGGGAGAGACTAGGGTCCCGGTAAGCTGGAGGTGGGAGTCCAGGCCTCTTCTGGACTCCAGGGCGCAGAGGGTTGCTGCAGCTGGAAGAGAGGGAGGCCTTGGAGCAAGTGGATGCGGGCCTGAAAAGTCTAGGTCGGAGCCAGGTGGTAGATTCCAGCGGGGAGGCAGAAGCTACTGAGAGCCCCTGGAGAGCCAACCGATCTCCACGGGGAGTTGTGACCACCAAACCCAGGGGCTCCAGAGGAGTCCTGGGGGTATGGCACGAAATTGCTCAGGCCTTAGTGGGGCTCCAACACAGTGAAAGGTCTGAGGGACCTGAACACAGAAGAGGGCGAGGAAGGCTGAAACACCAAGGGTTTGTCTGTGGGCGGTGAGTAGGGCCCTTGTGCCTGTGAGGGTAGGACTTCACTTTCTTTTGTTCATCAGACCCCCGAGCTTTAAGGAAAGCAAGGAAGCCGGGACCTCCGGGTGTCCGCGTTGGCTCGGGGGAGAAAGAGAGAGAGAGAGAGAGAGAGAGAGAGAGAGAGAGAGAGAGAGAGAGAGAGAGAGAGAGAGAGAGAGAGCGCTACAGTAAAGAGGATGAGGGGACTGAAAGACTGGGGAAAGGAGAGAAAGCGAGTCCGAGACTGAGGCGATGAAAGGAAAAAAGAAGAAGACGGAAGAGAGAAAGGCGACTAGTGAAGAGTAAGAAAGAAAGGAGGGATGGGGACCAGGCGAAAAATCTGGAAGAGAAAGGGCGGAGTGGGCACCGAGGCCCAGGCCAAGCCTAGCGCCCGAGAGGGGGTGGTTTTTCCAGGGTCTGCACTCTTGTCACTGGTATCAGAACCCCAGAGAGTCAAATCGCTACCAGCCGGAACGCTCTCCGCGGAAATATGTAAATCAGGGCTCTCTGCGCCCTGGAGAGTGTCGCAATTACGCCCCTTGAACAAGAAGCAACAAGCTCCCAGCCGGTGAGCTACCAGAGGGTGGCTGCGTCGCGGGGGAGGGAGCGGCTGCAGGAAAGGTGGGGGTGGGAACCTCACACCCTCACACCTAGTCCCCTGTGCCAGGGCCGGGGCTCCCCCCACCGCTCTCCGCTGCTCTCCCTTCCCCCTTCCTCCCCCTCCTTCTCCCTCCCTCCTCCTCCCCTCCGGCCTAGGTCCGGGTACTTAAAGCAGCGCGGGCGGGCTAAGGCGGGCGGGCGGCCCAGTCCGGTGGCGGCAGATGCACCCAGCGGTGGCAGCCGCCGGCGGCGCGCAGGTGACCGGCCTGCAGCGCAGCCTGGTCAGGGAGTGCCCTGGGAGAGCTGGCAGGAGCTGGAGACCGATCCGCCCCCAGCGTGCGCGCGTCTCGGCGCCAGGAGCCGTCCCGGGGCGTGTTGGCGAGCGCTGATATAGATATAAGGACATTTCTCTCCATGGCGTCACGTGACATAATTACCACCAGAATCAATCAAGATGAATTGCACGTCAGCGCCCGGTGGGGATTTTTGCTTAGTTGATCCTGGCCCAAGCCTCTTGTGCAATCGATGGCTCAGGTTGGAGGCGCGGGGAGCGGCCCGAGGCTTGCCGGCGTGCACGCCGCGCAGCCATGAACGACTTTGACGAGTGCGGCCCGAGCGCAGCCAGCATGTACCTGCCGGGCTGCGCCTACTACGTGGCCCCGTCGGACTTCGCCAGCAAGCCGTCGTTCCTCTCGCAGCCGTCCTCCTGCCAGATGACTTTCCCCTACTCGTCCAACCTGGCGCCGCACGTCCAGCCCGTGCGGGAGGTGGCCTTCCGCGACTACGGCCTGGAGCGCGCCAAGTGGCCGTACCGTGGCGGCGGCGGCGGCGGCGCGGGGGGCGGCGGCGGGGGCGGCCCCGGCGGGGGTGGCGGCGGCTCCGGGGGCTACGCTCCCTACTACGCCGCGGCGGCGGCGGCGGCGGCGGCGGCCGCCGCGGCGGAGGAAGCGGCCATGCAGCGGGATCTGCTCCCGCCGGGCGGCCGCCGGCCAGACGTGCTCTTCAAGGCTCCCGAGCCGGTGTGTGGCGCTCCCGGGCCGCCGCACGGTCCCGCGGCCGCCGCCTCCAACTTCTACAGCGCCGTGGGTCGCAACGGCATCCTGCCCCAGGGCTTTGATCAGTTCTACGAGGCGGCGCCGGGACCCCCCTTCGCCGGCCCGCAGCCCCAGCCCGCGCCCGCGCCGCCGCAGCCCGAGGGCGCCGCTGACAAGGGCGACCCCAAGGCCGGGGCTGGTGGCGGCGGGGGCAGTCCCTGCGCCAAGGCGACTCCCGGCCCGGAGCCCAAGGGGGCGGCGGAAGGCGGCGGTGGCGAAGTCGAGGGCCCCCCGGGGGAGGCGGGGGCCGAGAAGAGCGGAGGCACAGGTAGGCGCCCGGCGCGGGCCTAGGGGCTGGCCCGGGGCGGTGGCGGGGGAGGGGGGTGCGGCGGGGACCTCCCTCTGCTTGCGCCGTTTTATGTGCTACTTTATAAGCATTCGAGGGGGTTTATACATCCTATAAGATTTCCCGGGTCGTTGTAAAGCGTGTTTATGATAGGAAACCAATTTAGGTGGGCTTAAGGTAGACTTCGAAGACGACATTAATCGCGGTAGAGAGCTTTCCCCCTATTTGGGTGGGGGTGGGTGGGTTGGGGACCTTAGGGGAGAGAAGGACATTGGGAGCCAGTTGGTGAGTGGGAACAGGGGAGTCTCCTGCCTTTCAGGGAGGGGGTCGGTGATCTTCGAACTGGACTTAATCCAAGTGTCTGGCTGACGCTCCGCTCTGAGTGGAGCAGATGCCTCTGGTGGGCGCGCTCCTGTCTCTTCTCCCTCGGGCTCCAGTTTAGAGCCTGCCTTGCCCTCTTGTTTCCTATCTCAGTGCCAGGCTGAAGTGTGTGTGTGTGTGTGTGTGTGTGTGTGTGTGTGTGTGTGTGTGTGTGTGTGTGTAGCGTGTGTGTGTGTGTGTGTGTGTGTGTGTGTGTGTGTGTGTGTGTGTGTGTGTCCGGGCGTGAACACATGTCCACGCCCGCACTCTCCTGTGCCCGCCCATATATCATCCCCCACGACGCAGGCAGGGCCTTTCAACGGCGGCAAGGGACGTCCCTAACCCGGCCGGCCGAGGCCTGGCCCGAGCTCAGTGGCCAGAGCGGGTGGGGGCCAGCAGCAGCCTCTCTCACCCCTTGGTCTCTTTGCCTTGCAGTGGCCCCCCAGAGGTCCCGGAAAAAGCGCTGCCCCTACACCAAGTACCAGATCCGCGAACTGGAACGCGAGTTTTTCTTTAATGTATACATAAACAAAGAGAAAAGACTCCAACTCTCTCGGATGCTCAACCTCACTGACCGGCAAGTCAAAATCTGGTTCCAGAATCGCAGGATGAAAGAAAAGAAACTGAACAGAGACCGTCTGCAGTATTTCACTGGAAACCCCTTATTTTGAGAGCTCCAGGAAGCGCCCCCTCCCCAGAGCCCCACTCACCCACCCTCCTCCCCACAGCCTGCCCTCCGCAGGCCCAATGTCCTTGGGTTCAATGACGCCTCTTCTCTGTGGAACTTCACGATTCCTTCTGGCGGTCAACTCGGGACCTCCCAACGACCACTGCAGCCTGAGGACGAGGCCGGGGACTTGGCCGAGCGGATCCTAATAAGGGGAAAATGGTAAATGCAATCGTCCCTTTACAATTTTACCGCCAATGTGCTGTTGTTGCCCCTCTCCGAGTCCTGGTGGACGCGGCGGGATCTGTAGGGAGCTAGGCCATGGGGCTAGAAGGAGTCGGTGTTTTGTTTGGAGTTTAAGAAATCCTTTTCTTCCCCCTCAGTGAACACAGATTATTTAAACTCTGGGAAATGTACCTTTGGGCATGAGTCACTGTCTTTTTGTGTGTGAATAAATGGTTTCTAGCAAAATGGAGGTTACAGCTTCAATACACTGCATGGATTTTTACTGTTTGAAGAAGTTTAGTAGCTAATCAGGCTGTCTTAGTGACCAGAACCCTGTTCCCCATGCAACTGAAAGCCCACTGGAGCACTTTTTAATCTCTTTGTAATAGGAGCTGTTCCTTCACACACACACACACACACCCTCTAGGCTACACTGGCTTTAAAAATCATGTTGGTGTTGCATTTCTGAATGGGTGATGAGATCCAGCAATGCTGGTTGCCTTTTTTCCAGGCAAGGAGGTTGAAGCAGTAGGAGTCTAAAGAGCAAATTCTCAACCCATCCCCACCCTTAGTCTAATGAACTTGGAATTTCTGGAAAGACAAAACAAAATTTAAAATTAATTAGAAGATCCAAATGAAAGGAGCCAGAATTCCTTAACAGAAAAAGAAACCTCTATGTGAGGGGGAAGTTTTGTTCAAAGGAAGTTAATAGGTACAGGAGAACATGGGGTCCTTCTGGTGTCATAGTGAGCATGAGGCAGGGAATGGAAGCCCCCCTACACACACACACTGGACTAAGGCCAGGGGCTGCTCAACTGCTTCTCACCACATTTATCGCTTTAAGTTAAAGAATGTGGTGAGGGCTGCACTGCACTTTATGTCACAGGGCCAAGCCAGGCTGTTTACAAAACCTTGAACTGTCTAGACAACACCATAAAAGCCAAAGTTCTAAACAGCTTAATTGGGTTATATTATACACCTTCTGGTGGGCCCGAAAGAGATTTCCGCAATGTGCAATAAACGGGAGACGTGAGAAAAGCGTCCCTCTCTCTGAAAAGAGTGAAGTGGGTCTTATGACTCTTAACCTCTCAGAAACCCAAAGTCAAAATATAAATCCATACGATGCATGGCATCCCAGGCCTCACCTGAGGAAGTATGCTTTTTGAAATATACATTTTTTTAATTGCTGAAGCTTTTGGGGGGTAAAGAAAAACATAAGTGCATAAGTGTATGCCTTTGAACTTCCAAAATGTCAAGGTCATCACCTTTAACCTCTCTGAATAATTAGGCGCCTTAAAGTTCTTCTGTGATTTCCAACCACCACCCACTCTCATAATACATGCTCCCACATCCAGACCCATGCACATATTTATGACCATACAGAATCATACTGGGGGTTCACCATAAATCTAAGAAAATTCCTAATTTCAAGATCAATAACCTTAATTTCCCTCCAAACATTGGAGTAATTCAATAGCAATTGACTTCTTAGGAAAAAAATAAAAACACTTGTTAGATCAAAATGCCTATTAACTATTAGTAGAGCTAGGATTACTGAGAATTTTGGAGGCTCTTAGAGAGTTTCTCTTTGCTGTAAGGAAGAACTGCAGTCTTTAAAAAGGCATTTGAGAGAGTAAGTTCTCATCAGACTTACACCATCCCTAGCATTTGAAAGCAATTTGCCACCCTGTCAAATAAACTCTGGCACTTTCTAAGATATAGAACAAAATAAAAAAATATTTATATTGTTTTTTAACACATTTCTCAATCTTTGATAAAGGATGCAATAGAAACAAGTCAGACAATCAAATTATTTCCCTCAGAAAGGGATTATTTTGTTTAGAATCTGGGCACTGGTTTACATGTAAAAGCCCTAATAGTATGATCTTCCTGGGAAATTAAAACTGGTTGGTTTCTTTCTCTCTTTATCTTCTTTTAACTGCGTCTAAACGAGCAAGCTGTGTGCCAGCCAGCATACTCCAGGCGAACGCCAGAAATACTATTTTCTGTTTGCAAGAACCTCTACAGCCACACGAGGGCGCGCTCACGTTCCAGAAACCTTATTTGCCGAGAGGCTGCGGTACCTTATTTTTTCCAATACTAGATTCTAATAAGGGATCTTGGCCCACCCGTTAGAAACAGCCAGCAGTTAAGGTGTTTGCTGTCTCCTTGTTCTAAGCAGCCATGATTGTAAGAAGTTGTAGAGAGACAGAGAAAAACAGGCAACCAGTCTTCTGAAACAGGGAATCCCCTAAAGGTTGTCTCCCTAAAGATGAAGCCGCTGCAAAAAAAAAAAAAATTCCTTAGTATATAACCTGATGGTGCTGAGAAGCTATTTTAAAAAGACAAATATCTGTGGTTTGAAATACGTCATTGCCCCTGCGAGTTAATTAAATTAGGGGAATATCTATTTTCATGTTGGTTTGAGTGTGGAGAGTGATGACAAATGTAAGGTCCCTCCCGTCTCCCCAAAACCGCACGCGTCTTGTGAGCTTTCAAATGGCTGGGATGATTAAAAGGCTTTTGTTTAAGACAGATTAGGGCGTTGGCAACTTAGCTGAGTGTGTTCTTAGAAAAAAAAAAAAAAAAAACTCCATGAGGACCGTGGGCGTCGTTCTGGGCTGAAGATTTCAGTCCATGCATGGCTTGGTGCTACCCCTGGCTACCCTAGGGGCGGAGAGGGCTTAGAAGCTGGGGTGCGGGTGCCAGACTGGACTGATGCGGTTAGTGGAGGTAGTAGACTCTTTGTGAGGACATTTGGATTTCAAAGTGTTGTGATGGAAATGCATTTGAAGTAGCCTGGCATTGTACTTGACGGAATTCGGGCCACCTTTCCTAGTTGCCCGCTGACCTTGAGGTGCGCAGTTTGCTTTGGGCGCTAGCTCCCACAAACAGTTAAAATCGCTCCTGAGTTTCACTGGCCTTGCAAAGCCCCGGGCTTTGGGAAATGTCTGTGTCCCTCCGCTTGCATCCTTGTCCGCGGTCCAAAAGTGTGAAGACGGGGCTCCCGGACGTGGGCGGCTCAAAGGGAGGATGGCGGATCCCTTTCACCCCCTAAGTTCCTTGAGAAGAGCCTGCAGCCCCCGGAATTTGCACTGACCTCTGTCTCCCTCCCTCCATTCGCCGGACCTCAGGCTCCAGGGCCGGCCGGTCCGCTAGTTCTCCCGGCCTCCAGGAGCGGGCTTTGGCTTGCGGGAGGCTGGGGCGCCATGACTCCCCGGCTAGGCGCCAGCGAGAGGCGTGGGTGTTCCCCCGCGCGGATACCCGGCTCCGCCTGTCTTGCGGCCAGTCCGGCTTAGCTCTTGTAAAGCGACCTTTCTTAAGGCCTAACCCGGGTTTCGGTTCTCGTGGGGTGAGACCTCCCTCCCCAAATGTCGTTGTGTTCCTTTGTAGGCGGCCCCATCGACCGCGCATCTGGCTGTGCGGGGCCCCTTGGCCTTGGCTGGCGGCCGCCGCGGCGGACCTCGGCTGCTGAGCGGTCTGCAGGGTCAGCCCAGCCGGCTGCGCCTGCCCACCGTGGGCCTGATACAGGCCAGGGGAGGGGATCGGGAACTTCGGGGGCTGAAAAATCTCCCCATCTTGAGCCGGCTAGGGTGCGCGGGGCTCCTTGACGGCGGCCACCGATCCGGAGGCGCCAAGTTCTCAGATTCCGAAGTAGAAGTCTTTTGTGTCTGTACAGAAAGAGCCTCGGCCCTCCTCGATCCCTTTCACTCATCTCTGCAGACCCCTTACGGAGTGTGTGGTAGTCTCCCAATTGCCCCCGCGATTTCTTTTCCCCTTGGTGCGACAGTACACAGTGCAACCCAGAGGGGCGCCCTGGGGAGGCAGCTTTTAAATTTGTCCCTACCCATCCTATCTCCAAAGAGTGACAGAATCCAGGGGCGGCTCATAGCTCTAAGTAAGGGAGACTCTAGGAGCCCATAGGTCCCCTTAGGCCCAGAGCCTCCACCCCATCCTTCCAAAGAAGACAAGAGAGTGCAGATGCAAGCCACTTCATTACTATTATGATTACAAATGCTAATTTCTTGCTATGGCGACCTTTTAAATTTTCCCTGGAAAGAACTGTGCCAGTGAGACAGGCGTCTTGGTACAAATAAGGGTATCCATCTCCTTTACGATGCAATATTGACTTATTATTAATACTAATTGCTGTAAATGATCTAAAGATAATTTTTAAAAAACACCAGCCACTACATTAAACACTAAGCAAAAATAAAAGCTGGCCTTTAAGCTACTGCATTTTCCCCCCTATTGCTTTGTATCCGCTCTAAGGTCTTAAGGCACATTCTCTGTCCTCTCTTACAGTATTTTCATTTTGCTCAAGTTTTTAAATTCTGTAAATCTAACATATTGACAATTTTGGCCGCGAGGACTCAGTCTGAAGGCAGAAATTCGAAAGAGAAAAAAAATAGAATTTCGTGAGAATAGATTCCATTTTTAAATTGACATGCACAATTTTTTTTCTGCCTTTGAGTGAAGATCCATTTAAACCCTAATTCAATATGAGATGACTTTGAGCTTGAAGCGATAAGGCACTGAAACAGAAAGACCCACACACAGAGAAGGCAGAGCTGTCTCTCCAACTTCACTGAAGACTTACCAGCCCAGTAAGGAATTGCTTGTTTTTAGACTGGGTGTTTTCTTCGTGTATAAATAAAGATTATGAAAGGGCATTTGATGGGCATAAAATTCCTGATTAGATTGAACAGCCCTTCCTTGCTTAGGATTAGGAAAATTGGGCAGTGGAATTCTGGGCAGCTCTCCTGGCCGAGATACAAGGCAACACAATGCTAAAGCGCCAAGCTGGCGTCAGGGCGACTGCCGAGAACCGTGCAGCGGGCACTTTGTCCGGCCCTGGGCACATTTAGCTGTAACTCAGAATTTGATCCCCACAATGTGAAAAGGGAAAATTTGAGGTGCTAATCAGTGGCTGTTAGGTTTGATCAGGATCTTAGCAACCTGGAGGCAAAAGTGTTTTGTTTTTTTTCCCCCCTATGCTTTACTTAACACCTCACACCCCCTCCCCAGCTTAAAAATAGCCAGCCCTGTGGAAAGGTAATGTTTAAGTCTCGGGCTTCACCACCGCGGTGCAGCAGCCAGAGCAGTTAAGAGGCGCCAGGCTTTTAACCTGACAATGATGTTGTATTTGAACAGCTGCGTAAAGGTTTAAAAGGTCTGTCTCATTGCCACCGTGGAGTTTTTTAAAAGGGGTTATTGTTTGGGCGAGGGCACTGAGAGGGGACTAGCCAATCGGTCCCAAGGCCGAAAATAACGTTCAACGCCTGTTTTCACCAGGCCAGGAGAAATTCCTTTAGGGGAGGGAGGGGGACAAAGGACTTTTGGGGGGAATTGAAATGTTTTTGTGAAGGAGCAACTAGGTCCCCCAGATCGCTGAGGCTCTTTAAGGAGCATTGAACCCCAAAGAAATGTTCTGTTGAGGCGGAAACCAGATTTATCCACAAGTTCAGTCTCTGGGCCTGAAATCCAAGGCCAGTCCATTCCTGAGTGAGTGTGGAAGAGAACACAGTTGTCTCCTCCGACTGAGAACTGGTTCACGGTCAGTTTCCGGGTCCGTTTTACTTTCTTGACCGCCAGGGAAGGGGCCCGGAAGGCCGAAGGACAGCTCCCACACACAGGCAGGGCCCCTGGTCCAGGGCAAGTCTTTGGAAATCAAGGTTAAAGCTCCCCGCTGCTGTCCTAAAACCCCGGCTTCCGCAGGGCGGCTCGCCCGCCTGCAACCAGAGGAGGAGGAGGAAGTTGTTCAAGTTTCTCATAAAACTCTGAGTTTCCATGGTGGTGGTGGCAGTGGTTGCTCTTTAATGAGCTGGACCACAACCCCAGACCATATCCTCTTTATAAAACTTTCCCTCACCAGAGGAAACGGAAGACTTAGATTCTCCCATCTCGTTCCCCTTCTTGCCCAAGCAAAACCTTGTCAAAGAATTTTAGGGATTGTCCAAAACTATAAAATTTAACTTGTGACAAAAGTATAGCTTTTAATATTTGACGATTTGTGTTAAAACAAAAATTGACCTTCTTGGTTAGTAGCGAAGAGGAAAAATCAATAGTATAATTTTCAATAATTCATAAAGCGAACGCCATTATGCTAAATCTTAACTATTAATCTTATCCTTTACAAAGTCTCGATTGATTTGTTAATAAAATATCTTCCCGTTTGTGGCAACAGCGGGTATAACTCTTTAAAAACCTTCAGAAGCAAGAAAATTACCAAGTAGCCCAAGAATGTAGATGAGAATTTTATTGATCGCCCTGATTCTTCTTAATATGTATTAATAAATTCCACAACCTTTTGTACCTTGCACTTGTCAGAAACCAATGCTTTTACAAAATCCATAAAAGGAAAACATATTTTTCTTTGCAGAAGACTCAAATGACACCTCTGCTCTGCTCTCTTTTCGCTCTGGCCCGGTTTTCTAAAACTTGTAGAGTCCGAGGGTCAGAGTTTTCCCCCTTCTTTTGAAAAAATATTTTCTTGTGCCCTTCCTTCCTCTCTGCCTGTATTACGAGGGAAAGGAAACCTCGGTTTAGCTGTCTCTGGGAGCCCGAGGGACGCTTTCCAGGATAGGGAATGGCTGGCGAAGGATTATCACCAAGCTAGAAGCTCCCAGCGGCCGGCCCCTCAAAGGTCAGGGTGTGGTTACTCTGAGAGTCTGGGCTCCAGGAGCTCGTGGGTGCCCAGGGGCCCCGAGTCCGGGCCAAAGGATCGAAGGAGAGGGTAACTACGGGCTGGAACCATCCTCCGGGCTCCGGATCTGCCCAGCTGCGTGGCCTCTCGACCTTCGCGGCCTTTTTCCGCTAGGGCTTACCGCGACACCTTGGTCGTATGTTTGCAGCGGAGAGTTTTTTTTCCTTTGGACCCCTAGGGAGGGACGTTTCAGAACCAGAGGAATCGGACTCACCTTCCCAGCTGCCCAGTACTAAGTTAACCAGCCCGCGCCCCTACCCCTTGCTCGGAACCGGCCCTCTTGGGCGCGTTCTGCCTGGGTGTGTGCAGGGAAAACAGTTCGGTGAGCAGGCGCCCCCGCGCTCTGACTTCCCTCAGTGCGCGTGTCCTCCCGGAGGCCCCTCGGATCAAGCCTTTCCTTCCGCCGGCGGGGCCCGGTGGCCGGGTAGGGGACTCGAGTGGGGGCAGGCAGGCCGGCCAAACAAGCCCCGGGAGACCGGCTGGCTGGCCAGCAGCAGAGCTCTGGGCCGGTTGTTTCCAGCGCGCACTATCACCGGCGCTTAGTAGATGTCGCTGTTGTCCGTGCTTACGCGGCCGGCCGGCCGGGCTCTGGAACACGTGACCTGCAAGGAGGCTGCGGCTCAAGGCCATTTTCAAATCTCATTGGCTTGGTTGTCATGTGGTCGGCAGAGGCATCCACAATTACACCGGGAATGTTTTCCTAGAGATGTCAGCCTACAAAGGACACAATCTCTCTTCTTCAAATTCCTCCCCAAAATGTCCTTTCCCAACAGCTCTCCTGCTGCTAATACTTTTTTAGTAGATTCCTTGATCAGTGCCTGCAGGAGTGACAGTTTTTATTCGAGCAGCGCCAGCATGTACATGCCACCACCTAGCGCAGACATGGGGACCTATGGAATGCAAACCTGTGGACTGCTCCCGTCTCTGGCCAAAAGAGAAGTGAACCACCAAAATATGGGTATGAATGTGCATCCTTATATACCTCAAGTAGACAGTTGGACAGACCCGAACAGATCCTGTCGGATAGAGCAACCTGTTACACAGCAGGTCCCCACTTGCTCATTCACCGCCAACATTAAAGAAGAATCCAATTGCTGCATGTATTCTGATAAGCGCAACAAACTCATTTCTGCCGAGGTCCCTTCGTACCAGAGGCTGGTCCCTGAGTCCTGTCCCGTTGAGAACCCCGAGGTTCCTGTCCCTGGATATTTTAGACTGAGTCAGACCTACGCCACCGGGAAAACCCAAGAGTACAATAACAGCCCCGAAGGCAGCTCCACTGTCATGCTCCAGCTCAACCCTCGCGGCGCGGCCAAGCCGCAGCTCTCGGCTGCCCAGCTGCAGATGGAAAAGAAGATGAACGAAACCGTGAGCGGCCAGGAGCCCACCAAAGTCTCCCAAGTGGAGAGCCCCGAGGCCAAAGGCGGCCTTCCCGAAGAGAGGAGCTGCCTGGCTGAGGTCTCCGTGTCCAGTCCCGAAGTGCAGGAGAAGGAAAGCAAAGGTCGGTATGAACAGAGTTGCCACCCCAACGGGGCGCGCAGTCCGGTAAACCCTCGGAAAGGGAGCGCTCGGGTGCCCAAAGCCGAGCCCAGGCAGCGGAGCCCAGCGCCCGACTGGCAGGTGCTGCTCCACCCGGCTTTTAGAGGGGAGATCTCAGCCTCGAGATGGTCCCTGATTCTCCCCCGCTGCTCTGGCCCTCCCGGCCAGTCCTGGCCCCACGCTGATGGCGCCTGGGCAGAGGAAAGGCTTGCCGGGTTTATCTGTCCAGAGCCAGACCCGAAAGGCAACAAAAGAGCTAAAAGGAGACCAGCGGCTTGTAAACAGGGCTCCAGTGGCCCCTCTCCTTTGGCTCAGATTTGCAGCCCCCGTTTTGCCTTGCACCCAGGGATCATTTTAAGGTGGCCTAAGACATCGTGTTTGTGTTCAAGGGTTTGCACCCCGCATCCTGCGATCTCAGAAGGGAAGGAAATGGTTTGGCCGCTTGGTGCTTGGGTGGAGAAAGCAGAGGACTTCTTGCCTTTGCTGGGCTAGGTAACCTTGGCTTTGTCTGGGGAAAGTGCCGCAGGCTTTGCAACCTTATACAAAGAGGGCAAAGGCAGAAGAGGGGGAGAATGGATCTGCATTGCCCACTTAGGGCTGGGATAAGGCAAAGAACCAGGGGTATGGGTTTCTAAAGAAGGGATCGTGCCCACCCCCATGCCTGCGGGCTTTGCCTCAGTGTCTACCGGTGGGCCACAGGGTTACATTTCTGGAGGAATGCTTTTGTGTGAAGGCAAAGAAACATTTTTAAATTGAGGGAATTCTGGGGGGACTGCAACAATGCCCAGGCAGGGTGGAGAAGGTATTCTTGTTTGTTTATCTCTTGAAAGAGTCTGGGTCCCTATAAACCTGGTTGTGGGACTCCCTGTCTGCCCAGGAGAGGTGGGTAAGCAGCGGCCGACTTGGGGCCCTGGAGCAGCAGGGAGATTGGTAAACTCCTCAAGCTGTGACTTCTGTTCCTGTCCTGTCATGGGCTGACCACTTAAAATGTTGCTGGGGAAAATCTGTGAACTTTACTATTATAGTAACGTTTTGTGCAAGCTAGAAAGTTGTGTAGGAGAGAGAGAGAGAGAGAGAGAGAGAGAGAGAGAGAGAGAGAGAGACAACCCCTGGTACAGACTACCCTTCCATTGTATTACTTAAGTATTTAGTTCTCATTTGCTATCAATTTAAAATCCCCTTCATGCCCAACCTTTGTGAGTAATGTTTAATACCATGGTGCATTGTCCAAAGCAGTCTGTCTGCCAGCAGGGTCATGGCCAAGGGTATATATTTGAATGGACTGAGAGAAAAAAAAAATTCTTGATTTTTTTCTTCTCCCTTTAATTTTGTTAGAGGAAATCAAGTCTGATACTCCAACCAGCAATTGGCTCACTGCAAAGAGTGGCAGAAAGAAGAGGTGCCCTTACACTAAGCACCAAACGCTGGAATTAGAAAAAGAGTTCTTGTTCAATATGTACCTCACCCGCGAGCGCCGCCTAGAGATCAGTAAGAGCGTTAACCTCACCGACAGGCAGGTCAAGATTTGGTTTCAAAACCGCCGAATGAAACTCAAGAAGATGAGCCGAGAGAATCGAATCCGAGAACTGACCGCCAACCTCACCTTTTCTTAGGTCTGAGGCCCCATGTGAGGCCAGGATCCGAGAGGGGGCACCGTGTTCCAGGCCTGAGTGCTGGAGGACTGGGAAGGCGGAAACAAAACCTTCATGGCTCTTTGTGTTTTGTTTTGTTTTGTTTTGTTCTGTTCTGTTTTCCTGCTAGAATGTGACTTTGGGGTCATTCTGTTCGTGCTGCAAGTGATCTGTAATCCCTATGAGTATATATATATTAAAAAACCTAGCACGTGTAATTTATTTTTCCATCGTAATGCAGGGTAACTATTACTGCGCATTTTCATTTGGGTCTTAACTTATTGGAACTGTAGAACATCCATCCGACCATCCACTCATCCACCCATCTATCCAACCAGCAATGTGACTTTTCCACGGTTTTCCTCACATAAAAGTTCTCTGTGTGTGGGTTAGCCCATGAACTCATGTCATTTTGAAAACATCCAGTACTTTTAAAAAAATTACATATATATTTCAAACGAATAAGAAAACCCACAAGCTTTGGGGGGAGGGGGACTTTAAAAAGCACATTACAATGTATCTTTTCACAAATGAACTTAGCAATTGTCCTTGGTGAAATGGAGTATTGATGACGTATGCCTTGTAGCCTTTCCCTCGTGGTGCATCTGTGGTTTGATAGAAGTACAACAGCAACCTGTGCTGTGCTCTCTGTGCATGTTCTGACCGCATGTATAATGCAATAAACTCTGGAAATGAGTTTGTTCCCTCTGCTTTCTGAAATGGAAACCTGTGATGGTGGAGACGAACGCCTCTGGGAAGAGTCTCTTCTGACTAAACTGCCTGTTTGGGGCAGTCGGGTAGGGGAGTAAGGGTGGGCAGGAGAAGGGAGATAGGAGGGGACGCTGGGAAGGACCTAGGGTGCTGGAACAGGGCACTGGTGGGGTAAGAGAGTGGGTGGTTCAGCCTGGGAGTCTTCATAACTGGGAACAGTGTCCTCTCCTCTCCCACCCCCAATCTGTTACTATAATTGCATTCTCAGTGGGGTGAGCTTCCTTCTAGCCTGGGTCTGGTAAGTAAGCCTATGCTCTGTGCCGGATTTTACTTTCAGTTCCCCGTTTGTGTGTTTTTGTCTCTGGTTTTTGGTTATGTTATTTTTAATGCTTTCAGTGAGCTCTTGATGACTTCTGGCTGGGGAATCGACCATCAGGGGCTAGGTTGGAACTAGTAATGCCCACCTGGAACCTGCCTGGCCTCCATTACAGGAACAAGCAACAGCTTAGCATGGCACCGGATCCAATTGTGTCCCCCCCCCCTTTCTCATTTCTACCCATCCCAAGCTCAAGACAACCAGGCCCAGTGGAGCCAAGGTTGGGTGAGTTCTCTCATCTTACTTTACCTTGGTTCCTTTCTGAACGGGATTTATGTTCAGCCATTACCTTTCAGTGGCCCACATGAATTTTTTTAAAGGAAAAAATGGAAATACTCTCCCCAGTCAAATCTCTCGCTATTATTACTAAATGCTCGTTGCAGCCACTGTAGCTGAGCAGTCAGGTGACTGAAAGAGAATTTGCAAGTGAACATGACTTCCCAACAAGTCCAGTGGTCCTTTTACACACATAGACTGGGAAACTCAAGGCAGCTTCTGCGGAATCCGCACCGTTGAGCCCAGACTCATCTAGTCCTGTCAGGGAAAGGGAAGAGGTCCTTGTGGGAAGAGGTGACCGAATTCGTTGCCCCAGGTCCGGCCTGTGGTTTCAGCCCATCTTCAAAGACCCATCATAAAACAGGTTTGTTTTTCTTTTTTCTTTTCTTTTTTTCTTTTTTTAAAACACAGGCCTTCCCCCCCCCCAAAAAAAGAACAATTCCAAAAGAACTTCGGAGCCCCCATCCAAACATTCTTTGGGATGCTCAGTGTTTATTATTTTAAACTTCCTTCCCCAAACCCAAATCCTCCTAAACGCCAAGACAGATCCCTTGAGGGGCTTATTTCCTGGGGCTGGTAGAGAGAGGTGTCTGACTCAATCCTAGCTTGAAAGGACTGGAATAAATTTGTCCTTGATTTACCTTGGATGGGCAAAAGGAGTAATATTAACCTCTGCGTTTCTCCCAGCGGTGCGGGGAGCGCCATTAGTTTCTGATAGGGGGAAACCTGTGCTACAGGAAAAGGGCAGGCCCCCTGAAACAAAATCAGAGAGCCATTCGTAAAGGCAATCAATCAGGCCCTAAGTAGCCATTTACCCCCTTTCTTTCCGGGGCTGGAGGTGGGCTGGGAGCCCTCCAAGGGTGCGCTGGGCAACTTGTAGAGCAAGGAATATACCCTCTCAATCGCCGCCGGCCTGCGGCTTTTGTCTCGGCTCCCAGCCGGGCTTTGTACCATGGATTTGGGAGTGACAATGGGCATTTCTCTCAGATTCAAGGCTGCCCGGCCTTACCTCTGAAGGCAAGGGGGGAAAATTGGGAAGGGAGTGGCTCAAAGCCCTGTCCTTTCGCCTGGATTTTGAAGACATCTTCAGAATCCGTTTGCAGGCCTCTCAGTGTGAAAGGCATGCAGCGGCCCTGCCCACGGAGATGCGGTTCCCGCCGGCCTCACTGAGGCAGGGCTAATTTGGCCAGTAAGAGCCGGCCTCTCTGGCGTTCGAGTTTTTCCCTCTGTGGCATGTTTTTCTTCCAGGGCCATTCCAGAAGGCCGGAAAAAAGATGAGGCACCGTGGCCCTCACTGTCAGCTCCTTGGGACTCCAGTGCTCACCGCTCATCCGAGGGCAGGGAGAAGCCCCTCGGAGGCCGCCCCTGCAGAGGCCGCACTGTGCTGGACCAAGGCCCGGGAGTCCAGTTGCCCCAGCTCACCCCTTGGGCCTCGGGGCGTGTGCCTAGCCTCACGTCGAGGGTGTATTTGTGGCTGCACGGGGAGTGTGTGAGTGTGGTAGAGGGAGGGGGCCCTTCGAGCTGCTCCATCCGTCCGTTTTATTAGGGACACATTAATCTATAATCAAATACACCTCATAAAATTTTTATTGAAAGGCATAATATCATTACAGAGGTCTTCCACCTGTTTTAAACAACACGACAAGCTGTGAGAGCGTGTGTGGGTACGTGTGGGGAGGGGTGGGTTTAGGTAAGAAAAGAGGCCAAGGAGAACAACTCCCCCTGGGCGCCAGGGGGCTGCCCTTAAAGGCCTGCCTGCCTGGGGCAGCACCCGGCCGGGAGCCTCCGGCTGCTCCCTCCGGGGCTCTGGGTAGCCGCCTAGGTGTGCCGCGGAAGCCCGATCCAGGGCTCAGAGCCCAGGAGTCAGGGAGCCGGCGTGGAGATGGCAGGACCCAGAGCAGCCAGAAGAGACGAACAAATAGTCCCCAGCGCCTCCTGCGGCCGCAGTTAGGCCTGTGGTCGCCGCCGCCACCCGGGCGGGCTGGGCCGGGCCAGGCCGGGCTGGCGCGTGGACCTGGGCCCGACAGCTCTAATTGCAGAGCTCCTGTTGATGATGATTTTTTTTTTTTTTTTTAAATCACAGCAGCCCCCAGTTTAGCGGACTGATTTACTCCGGGTATTGGTAAATATGATCACGTGGGCCGCGCGACCAATGGTGGTGGCTGCAGCCTGCGAACTAGTCGGCTGCTCGGGCGCCGGCGAAGAGCGGCTCGGCGGCGGGCAGTGTAACCTTGGGTGGGAGCGCGCGGCGCCTCACCATGTCGTCCAGTGGCACCCTCAGCAACTACTACGTGGACTCGCTCATAGGCCACGAGGGCGACGAGGTGTTCGCCGCGCGCTTCGGGCCACCGGGGCCGGGGACACAGGGCCGGCCCGCAGGTGTGGCCGATGGCCCGCCCGCCGCCGCCGCCGAGTTCGCCTCGTGTAGTTTTGCCCCCAAATCGACCGTGTTCTCCGCCTCGTGGTCCGCGGTGGCCGCCCAGCCCCCGGCGGCGGCGGCGGCGGCGGCGGCGACGATGAGCGGCCTGTACCACCCGTACGTGTCCCCGCCACCCCTGGCCACCGCCGAGCCGGGCCGCTACGTGCGCTCCTGGATGGAGCCTCTGCCCAGCTTCCCCGGCGGCGCGGGTGGTGGCGGTGGCAGTGGTGGCGGCGGTGGCGGAGGCCCGGGTCCCGTTCCCAGCCCCGGCGGCCCAGCGAACGGGCGCCACTACGGGATTAAGCCTGAAACCGGAGCGGCCCCGGCCCCCGCCGCAGCCTCCACCTCCTCCTCCACCTCCTCGTCCTCCTCCTCCTCCAAACGGACTGAGTGCTCCGCGGTCCGCGAGTCCCAGGGGAGCGGCGGCCCAGAATTCCCGGGCAACTCGTTCCTGCGGGACAAGGCGGCGGCGGCGGCGGCGGCGGCGGCGGCGGGAGGGAACGGGCCCGGGGTGGGAATCGGGGCCGGGCCTGGGGCGGGAGGCTCGTCCGAGCCCTCAGCTTGCAGCGATCACCCGAGCCCGGGCTGCCCGCTGAAGGAGGAGGAGAAGCAGCCACCGCAGCCGCCGCAGCAGCAACTTGACCCAAGTAAGTGCAAAAGAAATTGCCCCCTGATTTATTGCTGAAACCTGTAAGGCTGAATGTGCAAAACTGATAGTTTTACTAACCTATAAAAACGTCTAGACGCCTACCCTAGCCTAGGCGAGCAACACGCATCCATAAAAAAGCTTCCCATAACCACCTACCTTGGGCGCGCGGTTTGTACGGTAAACAGAGCGCGGGCATTAAGGCTTTTTATGATAATTCCCCCAAGTTGTGAAAAGCGTCCATCCTTGGTGAAATTAATTTAACGACCTCTCTTCCCCACCCTGTCGTCTCTCCCTGCCTCCCCTCCGCCCCTCGCTCCCTGTCTGCAAACCCCCCTCTTCCTAGACAACCCCGCAGCGAACTGGATCCACGCTCGCTCCACCCGGAAAAAGCGCTGTCCCTACACCAAATACCAGACGCTAGAGCTGGAGAAGGAATTCCTCTTCAACATGTACCTCACCCGGGACCGGCGCTACGAGGTGGCCAGGATTCTGAACCTTACAGAGAGACAAGTCAAAATCTGGTTCCAGAACCGTAGGATGAAAATGAAAAAGATGAGCAAGGAGAAATGCCCCAAAGGAGACTGACCCAGTGCGGTCCTGGCCCGCAGCGCTCAAAGGCAGCCGGTTTTTGTTTTTTGTTTTTTGTTTTTTTCCTTTGTGGGTGCTTGATTCAGAAACTCTCCAGCAACTCGGACTTCCTTCTTCTTTTTTTTAGGTAGAAGTGACTGTGTGGTTGGTCTCTGTGAGTTATTTGGGGGACACTGTATTTGCTCGCATATGTATTGGAGAAACCAAGTGGCTTTGGAGTTTTGTCCTATCCCGCTCCTCCCTTTCCTACTCGGTTGGTTCCTTAGGAAATGCTATATTTTGTGAGTGCACGCAGGCTTGATGAAGCCCTCTCCCGTGTAAATGTCCCTCCTGTTTCTGAAAAGTACTGTAGTTTAGTCTCACCCCGTCCAGCCTCCCAAACAGGGCCAACTATCCAATTCCGAGAATCTGAAGGCAGAGGGAGATTATGGACACCCCCGCTGCTCTCCCAGCCCAAACCCAACCGCAGGAAAGCCCCTTTCCTCAGGGAGCCAATGGGCTGACTTCCAGTGAGGCCTACCGAGAAGTCCTGGGCCCTGGGGCGCCGCGGGGTGCGGGGAAGGTTTGGTCCTCCAAGCCCAGGAGGAGCTGCTCTCTCCCCGGGAGGGCTGGGTTCCCTTGAGCGGCCTCGGGTGGTGGACCTCCATGTTCCTGCCTGAGGACCAGTTGTAAATGTTACCGCTTCCAACAAATAAATGTTGATCTGAGCAAATGGAGCCTAGTCGCTGGCCCTGAACGTTGTGTGACTGCTCTCTGTGTCTTGGCAAAATAACATGACCACCAGACTGCACAACCCCGAGAAGGGACACCTTGCTAAAGGCTGTAGGCCCTGGCACCTGGAGGATCTCCAAGGTGCCTTAGAGCTTCCTTTTATGTATGCACACCTAGCCGAAGAGAACCATTTTGGAAGGTGTCTCGGCGCTCCCCTTATCATGCTGCCAGGGCCACAGTGAGCTCCGGGCCTTTTAGGCCCTGGGTGAGCCTCTCTGCAGAGCTACAGGCGCCAGGAACTGGGCACCCTTTTGCCAAGGCTTTGACACACCGCACCGCTGGCCTGCCTCTATCCTGGAGACCCAGAAGCCAATCCCCATCTCTAAACAAGAGAAAGGGCAACTTTGCACTGTGGAGTAACCCCCCCAGGCCCGAAAGGCTGGCTGGCTCCCGGAGGTCGCAGCCAGTTAGGCCTCGAGCATCTGCCCCTCCCCACCACAGCCCCAAAGTGACCTTAGCGGATCCAAATGGTCAAGACACTCCCCCCCACCCATACCCTCATCCTGCCGCCCCCTTCCCTCCACCCAGCTTCTATGTGTGTTTAGCCCCCAGCTTGGCCCTCTGAGGCTGCATTGAGAGGCTAAAATGAAGGTCATTGTGAGGGTTCAGGCGGATCACTGGCGTTGCGGGCCCTAGAGGAGGCCACGGCGCCGGGCAGCCTGGGTTGGGCGGAAGGCGGGGGCGATGGCAGAGATCTTGGGGATCCTGATGAAAGAGGGGGACTCCAAGAAAAAGCAGATGGGGCTGAGAGGGAAAGCCAAGGCCCAGATCCGGCTGAAGGTGCTGCCTTCCCCCGCCCCCTAGGCCAGGCGGATACCTACAGCTCTTTGAAAACAGGAAGAGCCAAGGTGTCATAAAGCCATCGAGCCGGCCAGACGTCTGGAGGTAATGAGTTTACGACGGGCCAGGCGCTTCGCTTTGAAACCATCTCATTTTGATGTTTGTGGGAGGAAAGGAAAAATGCAGACAAAACTAGGTCTTAAAATCTGGACAATAAAATATAAACAAGACTTGGACCAAGAAGGCAGGGGCTAGGAAGCCCCCCAGTGAGGTGTGAGCATCCAGAAAAGAAAAATGAGAGGTGATATATTTCTGATTTTTTTAAAGGGGGCGAACGTTAGAGGTAGCCTGTGGCCGGTGGCTCTTCAATATTTTGACTGTGGCCATGATCTATCTGGTTCTTTTAAAAAGAAAAATAAGACCATAATGACCACTCTATTACTTGAGATGGGGAGGCTAGTGATCTTGGGCCATTTACTCAAGCAAGCATCTCCTAGAATTACGTCTTGTGGGGCATTACATGCCTCTTCACTGGCCCTTCACTCCAAATTCCCCGCAAAAATATGGAAATTTGTTCACTTATTACAGATACAGTCAATACAGCTAAATTGACGGAAAACATTTCTGAAAATGAGAGACAGAGAGATTAATTTAGCAAGAAACACATCGATTTGGTAACATTTGCTTTTTAAAACGACACATAGACCGCTTATCCAATTCAGTTCAGTCTGTCACTTATGCAGTTTAAAAATTCTCATTTATTGTCTGGAAAATTTGAATAAACATAAGCCCAATAGGGACTTTCCAGACAGGCACACGAAATGCTGCAAAAAGCTTTTAATTTGACTTTAATCCACCCCAAATTATCCAGTTTAATGGGCCCAAAACATTAAGGTTAGAAAGTTGAATTAGCAAATATACATCATTTAATGTTGAGAGTAACAATTTTTAAGAAAAACAACAACAATATTTGACTTCTAGAAAATTTTTAGCTGTCAAAGTGCTTGGTTTCTTTGAAAGAAAGTCTCACAATTAATTTTTTAAAGTTTTGATTTGTGTTAAGCCTAGCCTGTCCTACAGTGATGTCTAAAAAGCACAGCTGGGAGATTACAGAATTGGGGGACTTGTGGTGGCTGGCAAACGACCGGCTGGAAGCTTTTGGCAAACACACTACTTGCAAGCTCTTGTGAGCCAAACTGAGAATTTCCTCTGCATTCGGGGGCCCCCGTTTGCTGCAATTGACTTGTTGACAGTCAAGGAGATGAAGCATTATTAGTGTCAGTGGTCCAAGCCCAAGTCAAACTGAAGAATTAAGATTAGAATTGGTTTGAGGCGAATGAAAGGAAAAATCAAACTCGGTTAGCTCGCGACAGCATTTGGCCACTAGAGGGCGCTGTTGCTCCACTTTCTGATCTCGTAAAGCTGGCATTGCGGTGGAGGAAGGTTTTGATTAAAAATATTTACAATCTTACTTTTAATCTTAAATTAGGATAAATTTAACAAAAATAAACAACGTGAGCTATTAAATTCTCAAGCCGTGCTCGTCAGACATAAAAATTTTGGCTCACTCAGCATTTCAGAAAATCTGGACTGTTGTGCAGAAACTATACAACGTTAAGTTAATGCATTCCATCAAAACAGGAGTAAAAAGCACAGATATTTACGAAGTTAACTGCGCTCTTCTTCTTTTCGGATAACAAACGGAATGCTTAAATAAAACCGGAAAAACCCACATTATTTTGTCATCAGGGGAAATGTGCTGTTGTATTTGTTTGTTTGTTTTTTAAATTAGGCCTGAATATGTAGAAATGAGTACTGTGTTCATGGACGACCTACCAAATTTATGGAGTTTTTAAAAGTGTCCTGTGTTACTGAGATGTGGGTTCTTGATTTTGTCTTTTTGCCCCATTCCATTCCCAAATCCATTCATTTATTCGGTGTCCAATAAATGACACCCATGCCAAACAGTGGAATAAAAGGCCACAATTACCAAGTTTAGCTCCAAAGCTTTATTGAAAAAAAAATCTTTTAATTGGGCATTTGCAGGACTGAAGTTTAAATCCTTAATAGTCAGATTCAGTTGTTACACTTCAAATTTGAAAGATACTTGGAAGAAAAACAGAAACAAAATAATAAAACTGCCTTGCCCTTAACCACCCCAATAACAAGTCTCCCATACTCTCTGACATAAATTTTAATAACATGTGTCTTCAGCATCTCCAGATTCATCAATAATTTGTTTACCTTCACCACTTTCAACCATCCCTTGTAGAAATAATTGAGTCGGACATAACTAGTGAATATGCCTTTCTGTGTCGACCTTATTTATAAAAACGAGATTCAATCCACTCGGACTGACCTCGGGATCCCGTCCACATGGGCTAAACAAACCCACGAGGAATGGAAGGTAGCTGAAATCTCTGGCCTGCTTGCATCCGAAGTCCATCTGGGGTTTGGGGCATTTGGATTTGGCCGTGGCAAGTCAGCGCAGTGTGATTTAGTGTAAGCCAGTCTTTGGCGAGCTGGGGTGTATCTCCAAGCTCTGTTCTCAAGACCAAAGGACCTGGTGCCCTCCAGACACCGATTATCCCAAAGGATAAAGGGTTCAGCACCTAAAGTGGGAGGAAGGGAGGGAGGGATGGAAAGAGGGGAGGAGAGAGAGCGAGGGAGGAAAGGAGGGAGGGAGGGGAGAGAGATAATATAAATATATTTATTGGACATTCAAACGAGAGAAAAGAAAAGGATGAAAGCGTGTGGGGAAGCGGTTGGTGGTGTAAAGCCACGCAGCTCTGCACAGCTGCCCAAATCCGGACACTGGCCCATTCCCGAAAACGCGAACCCTGGACTTCCGCAGAGGACTCTGCTTCCCTTCCTTATCGCTCACAAACTAGCCCCTCGTGAGCCTTCTCTTTATTTTCTCTCGGGGTGGGGGGTGGGGGGATCAGGTTTAAGCTAAGGCCTGCACCCAGTCTCGGTAGTTGTTTTACAGATTCGGTGTATGAGCTAAAGTCGTTAGCAGAGGACAGGGCCTGCCCGCAGCTGCCTGGAACCGGCCCGATCCGAATCTCGGCTGGGGGACTCGAGTGCCTGCCCCCCGCGCTCCACCCGGGGCCACAGCCCGCCCAAGTCCGCTGGGCGCCCGGGTGGGGACCCCAGAGCCTTGCGCCCTGCCCTAGGAAACGCCACCCACCCCGGCGTGAGTCCTTCTTCCCACTGGGAACGTTCCTGGAGCTCTTCTGTGCACTCCCTCGGCGACGCTAATGCACCCTTCCCACATTCTCCAGCCTCCCCCCGCTGCGCCCAACACTGACGTCTATCAAGGGTGAAATGATGGAAACTATATTCATGGGCATGATTTCCATTAAATATCAATTAACCTGGGAGCCTCAGCCAGGCATGCAGTGCGTCAAGGGTAAATGTACATCTCATTTCCACAAGGCCTGCTCGGCTGGAAAAAGCAGGACTTTTGATTCGCTTTGATAAGGCCGGGAGGATTTGGAGGCCGGGATTGTGGCTCTTCATCAAAAACAAAACAAAAAAACAAAACAAAAAACCACGCAGACAGGCCCAAACCAACAAATGCAAGGGCCAATCCGTCCACCTCGTTCAGCTCGTCCACGTTCAGAAATGCAAAAAAAAAAAAAAAAAAGAGGCCACGGCCAGTCTCTACTGGGCAGCCCCGGGAGCTGTGGGGAGAGGTCGTTTGCTCTGCAGCCTCCTGGGAGTGACCTCCCTGGCGGCCCCAAGGCTAAGGTTCGGCCGCGCCCCCTCCCCGCGGGCCCGGGGGCCCCCCGGAGCCCTTGGCAGTGCGGCTTTATGGGCCCCCTTTAAGGCTGGCGGAGGCATCCCGGGGCCGGCGGGCGTGAGGCGTCCCGTCCGTCCGGCGCAGGGGGGCCGCTTCGCCACCGCCCGGATCCCTCCGCGCGGCTATCTCGCCCCCCATCTCGCTCCCTCTCCTGGCAGTGGCGGGGTGCGAAAATGCCTCGCCGGCGCGCACCGGGGCGGCAGCCTCGGCGGCGGCGGCGGCGGCGGCGGCGGCGGGGGGTGGGGTGGGGCGGGGGGAGAGGTTGAGGTGAGAGGTGGCACCGGGCAGAGGGGTGTGTTTTCTTGGCGTCTCCCTGCAGAGCGGGGGCTCGCGAACCCGAGCCTCGGCGTCTCCCCCGGTGGCCCCGCGCGCACTGCACTCTCTTCCTCGCCCCCGGGGCGCTCGGGCCGCCCTGGTGCAGGCCCGGGAGGAAACTGGAGGCCGCGGCCCGGGTCACCGGGGGCGTCGGCGGCGGCGGCGATTCTATTGCGGCCCAGCGGGCGCGCGCCGGCGGGAGAGGCCCGGAGGGCGGCGGCGGCGGCGGCGGCGGCGGCGGCGCGCGAGGGAGGCGGCGCGAGGCCGGGGCCGAGGCCGAGGCCAGGGCGGCGGCGGCGGCGGCGCGAGAGCCGGACATGAGCGCCCAGCGGCCGGACGGCCGGGCCTGAGGGCAGGGAGCGCGCGCCGGGCCGAGCCGACGAGCCGGCGGGCGGACGGGCGGACGAGCGGGTGGACGAGGCCCGGCGGCCCCGGCGGCCCCCGCGGCTCGAGCCGCCGCCCCAGAGGCCCCCGCGGCCGCGCGGCCGAGCTGAGGCGCGCCCCTCGCCGGCTCCGCGCCGCCCGCCCGCCCGCCCGCCCGCCCGCGGCGGCCGCCGCCCCGATGAGCTCGTACTTCGTGAACCCGCTGTACTCCAAGTACAAGGCGGCGGCCGCGGCGGCGGCGGCGGCGGCGGCCGCGGCGGGCGAGGCCATCAATCCCACTTACTACGACTGTCACTTCGCGCCCGAGGTCAGCGGCCGCCACGCCGCCGCCCTGCAGCTCTATGGCAACAGCGCGGCCGGCTTCCCGCACGCGCCCCCGCAGGCGCACGCGCACCCGCACCCGCCGCCGCCGCCGCCGCCGCCCGGGTGCGGCGGAGGGGGCGGCCCGGGCCCCGGGCAGGACTACTTCCACGCCGCCGGCGCGGGCAGCCCCGCCGCCGCCGCTGCCTACCAGGCCGCCCCACCTCCTCCTCCTCCTCCTCCGCACCCTCCGCCTCCCCCCTGCGGCGGGATTGCCTGTCACGGGGAACCCGCGAAGTTTTACGGATACGATAACTTACAGAGACAGCCGATTTTTACGACCCAGAAAGAGGCCGAGCTGGTACAATATCCTGACTGTAAATCGTCCAGTGGTAATATTGGCGAGGACCCAGACCACTTAAATCAGAGCTCGTCTCCTGCTCAAATGTTTCCCTGGATGAGACCACAAGGTTGGGATGCGCTTGCTTTTTTTTTTCCTAAGGAGGGGAGAAATCTGCTTTCATCTCACGTTCTGGCTTTAAAACATCCCTGTCCTTTCCCTCGCCCCCCCCCTTTTCCTCCTTGTGTAACCACTGTGGCTCCTGTACATAAACTAATACGGACTTTTATAAAAAAAAGTATGTAAAGATGATGGGGACGCAATAATCGTGAAGACCGTGTCTCTGCTTCTCTTGCCTGCACACCCCATATCTGTATCAGAATTAAAGACCACTGTGTATTTCGTCTCTTAAGCCCGTTCCAGAAACTTCCAACAGCATTCAGAGACATCAACCATTTTTTTTTAAAAAAAACCAAAACCAAAAAAAAAAAAAAAAAAAGCCAAACACGTTGATTTTCCTCCTCTTTTTTGTTGTTTCCATCAGCAGCTCCTGGTAGACGGAGAGGAAGGCAGACCTACAGCCGCTTCCAAACCCTAGAGCTGGAAAAGGAATTCCTTTTTAACCCTTATCTGACCAGGAAGAGAAGAATCGAGGTCTCCCATACCCTGGCCCTCACGGAGAGACAGGTAAAAATCTGGTTCCAGAACAGGAGGATGAAATGGAAAAAAGAAAACAACAAAGATAAGTTCCCCGTGTCCCGGCCCGAGGCGAAGGACGGAGAACCCAAGAAGGAAGCCCGAGACCTGGAGGAAGATGGAGCCGAAGGCCCCACAGATTAACTTCTAAACTTCACAGTTTTTACCACAGACTATTAAGACTAACGATCAGCAGATGCTGGTGGACACCGCCTTTTCCCCCTTCCTTTTTGAAAAGGACTTTACCTGTGTTTCAAGCTACCTTAATGCCACTGCTCTTGAGGTTTCTGCGCTTTGAAAGGGATTTGGGCATTTTTTAAAAAACAGTTTGTAGTATCGCATAGAAGCAGTCCTTGAGCTGCCCTATAGAAGGGTAATTTGATACCGACCTTGTAGCTATATTTTTATAATGGTTGTTTTTAATGTCTGAGCTGGTGATTTGCCTCAACAACGTAAACTTCCTAATGATCAGCACTAAATGATTGAGTATAAAATGCTTTATTAATCAAACAAGTGCACTTGAACATTTTAAATCTTTATGGTGAGTAAGTGAGTAAATTAAAAGAAGTCTATTAATAATTTTTTTAAAAAAAATTATGCCTGCAGAATATTTGCTTTATATTATTTGATGAAATGTATTATTTATATTTTTCTTTCTGCTTTTGTAACGATGGTTCGGGTGTCTTTTGGTTTACTTCCAGAAGTTTCTTTGAACATTTTTGTAAATGTCTGTCAGGGAAGAGTCTGGGCCAGATATTGGAAAAGCACATTACCTGAAGAGTGCAATGTATCGTCCAGGCTCTCGGCTTCCTTAAACTTAGGAGAGTGTTGTGCCAGTGACAAGAGTTTAAGGATAATGTAACAATCGACGTTTAGCCGTGTTTCTGTAGTCCATACAAATTATGGCGATTGAATAATCTAGAGAATTAATACTTGAAAACTAATTGCAACATTTTCATTAACTTTGCACTCTGGCAAGTGGCCTTGCTTTCGTTTCGCAGCCTGCTTGTAATCTCCTGGGATTTCTAGGTCTCGTGCTCTGTGTTTCGGCTTTGTCAAGTAGGTGGCATATTGATTAGAATTCTCTTTGCACTGCTGGCATGCTCCTTTAAAGCCTGCTTGCTCTGTTCCTCTCAGATGTCGGTTGGTACGTTCATCCTCTGCTGTTCTTCAGGAAAGCCATGACCTTACCTATTTGAAACAAGCCCTGAGTGTAAACGCAGAAACTCGAGTGTAAACAACCGCTCCAGAGCATAGCTCCTCAATAAAGAAATGTACCTCCTTAAAGAGCAGAGCTGATATCTTTGAGCGTTCGGAAAACACCATCTCCTCGCCAGTCACAAACAATGACCAGGGCTCACATGAAGGCAGTGACCTGCTCCAGCTTTCTATTTGATAAGCAGGTGTGGGTTATATACTTTCCAAGCTGTTTTAATAATAATAATAATAATAATACAATAAATGATGATGGTCTGGGGCTTCCTTCCAGAGTGGGCTGACTATCCATGCTTCGTCTTGCATTAAATAATCCTGGTATGATACTGTGACAGCTTTGAACCTCAAAATGATTCAAGTCAAGTCTTAGGCCTGATGACCCAGAGTCCAGGTTACACCACAGCTTAATACCATAGAGTCCTAGTTGAAGCTGGCGTTTGGCATTTATTAGTAACAAGATATCCATTTCCCATTTGGGGCTACTCTGCAGCTGCCTTTTTATACAGGGGTGGGGGAGGAGGGCGAGAAAAGAGGGAAAGAAGAAATTCAAGTAAGATCTCATTTCTCACTGAAAATGGAAACACCTTCAAGCAGACGTTGAGAACTTTTTTTTAAAGCCATGTTTACTTTTAAAGATGTGGGGTTTTTTTATTGTTAATTTTCAGAGTGGTTTATATTACATGGGCAGGAAAAGAAGATTCTTTAGTTTGGGGCCAGGTTCACTGCCAGGTGTTTGTGGATAGCAAGATTGGTACTGACTGGGTTAGGGGCAAATCCCCACCTGGCTCTCCACCCGGGGAAGAGGCTGTGGTTGTGACATTTGCTAACCTAAGCCGGGAAAGACAGGTGAAGTCGGGAGTGTCCAAGGCTTAAGCATTTGTACAGAGGAGACAGCTGCAAAGGCCAGTGCTGCCTTTGGGGACGTTTTGCTCTTGTGTACTGCCTGAATCTGTGCTGGCTGGAACAGAGCAAGGATGCCTCAGGCCGAGAGCCTCTCTGGGAAACAGCCTTAGGCATAAGCTACCTGGAAACCAGTGTTGGCTAAACTCCAATTGTTTTGATTTAAGGAACTCTTTAAAATTTGCTATCTCCAGGGCTGGAGAGATGGCTCAGCAGTTATGAGCACTTGCTCTTGCAGAAGACCAGGGTTTGATTCTCAGCATCCAATATGGTAGCTCACAGCCATATATAATCCCAGTTCCAGGGAATCGAACGTGGCACACATACATGCTGGCAAAATATTTATTTATACACATAGAATAAAAGTAAATAAATAAAAAACTGCTATCTTTCACTCAAGAATGCTCCACCAAATATCTGTCTTCAAACTGGAATTGGACAAAATTTGATTAGGAAAAGGACCTACTAAGTGGATGAGTGGAAGTGGAACTCAGGGATGGGAAGTAAGGTAAAAATGCCACGTCTTTGACATTCTGGCAATCTATACTGCTCTGGAAATGCACCTTTGGGTGACACTGGCCCCTAAACCATGGTAAAATCCCAGCTCATGTACAAACTGTTGCAACAACTGGTGTTTTGAGATTATGAATTTGTACTTATACAGAAATTCACATAAAGTGTTGGTAGTACATGTAGAAGTAAATGTTTCCTTCTGCAGCTACGAAAAAAGATAGATCTGTCTCCAGATAAAGACCTTGAGGAATCCCTCCCCTCCACCCTTTGCTCCCCTTCCCTCTCTTCCTCTCCTTGATCTCCATTTTCTCTGTACAGTGGTTAGACCTCCTCACCCCATGATGGTGTCTCCGTAGAGGGACTGTTGGCGGGAGCACTGCAAGATGCTTTTCTAAGTGGCTCAGATCTGTAAACAGTGAAGGACTGCAGTAAGAAACAGACTTTTTTTTCTGCATAAATTCACGTAAACCTTCAGAGACCCTTCTGCAAACCCAGGTGGAGCTTTTCTGCCCTGAGAGGAGACTTAGAGTAGTCTATAAAGTGATAAGGTAAAAATCAAGACCCCTCCATGTTAGCACTGACTAAAAGAAAAGCCATCTGAGGGACTAGATTGTACAAGAGCCAGAAACACAAAAAGAGGGTGTGGCTCCTACTCCTTTGTAGAGGAAAGTCAGTTCAAGGGTACCATTTTGTAAGTCCCACAACACATTGCTTCCTCTGGGCAGCAGACAAGCAGTGAAACATGGCTGCCTTTTCTGTGCGGTCCCTTGTCTCATTCTCCAAGCTACAAAGGCAGGTGATAAAGTCTACTTTTATTTGAGTGGAGGGAAGATGATGCAGAGGCAAACAGATTCGTTTCTAGAATGGTTTAGAATTGAACAATCTCTTTACCCAGTTCCATGTGTATAGAGCAACGTAAAATGTTCTGAACCAGGGGAGGAACACCAGCTTGCCCATTCCCTTGTGTAATAACATGTTTAATACAGTGCATAAGACTTCACATCCAGCGTCTGTCCTCCATATTTTTGGTGTTTGCTGAATCCTTGGATGGCTAGAGGTGGAAAGAGAAAGAGAGCACACATTTTAATGGACCAGCAAAATTAGGGCCCACTGGCCTTTTCAAGAAATAAGACTTTCGCTGACAGATGGTGGCAGAAGCCCTTTAATTAAAATTATCCAAGGTCATCAGAACTTTCTCTTGGGATACAAACGGCCTACACAAAAGGGTGCTGTGCATTCCCTACTTAAACAAGTTCGTACCTAATAGTCGCTTCCTGGGTGTGAAGATGTTTCTGGCAAAGAGCTTATACTTATAAATGTCTTGCTAGAATGTTCTGAAAAGACTGAACAGGGTAGTGACCCCTTCCAGGCAGGGCCTGACAGCGGGCTGACAGTGCCCGTGAGGGGAATGTGCGAGGTCAGCCCAGGACATTGACTTTCAGGTGGAGTTCACCAGAGAGGGTCCCACTGAGAATGCAAAGGAGATAGGAGTCCAACCTTTGAGGGGAAATTTTTTTTTTCTAGATTTCGTGAACAGATAAAGCCCCTCTCTTCTCCAGAAAGGAACTAAGCACTTTCACGGGGGATGGGAGCGACGGAATTAAGAGCGCAGAGGACTGGAATTAAATTCCACAAAAGTCTTTACACCTAAAGTGAGGGGCTGGGGTGTGTGTGTGGGGGGGGGGGGTGTTCGTTCCTGTGGCTATAAATTAAAAAGTCAGCCGTGGGTGCTCAAAATGGTATTTCAGAGAGGTAGACAAGTATCTAGAAATATTTATGGCCTTTGGGATGGGCGATTGCTCTCCCATCACAGAAAACCCCAGGGGGCCAGAGGGACCCCAGTTTAGGTTAGAGCCAAGTGTGAGAAGGGCGTGGGCTTTCTGGGCCTGTGCAGCCCAATTTTCTGGACAAAATTTGGGATGTGGCTTGCCTGGGATGAGCGGGTAAAAACTGAGAGTGCCTGACATTCCTTCTGGACAAGTGTTTTTGTGAAGGAGAGGAGGAGAGAAGCCAAGTGACCAACGTAGGGGGAGACGTGGGGACTGGGGGAGGCGCTGTGGGGATGACAGCCCCAGAGACTGAGCGCCGCCGGCACGCATTTTCCTCGCACATGGCGGCCAATTGCACCAGAGGTTTTGAGCCAAACAAAAACAAAAATGCCCAGTAATTCCTAGAAAAGGTGTGTGTGTGTGTGTGTGTGTGTGTGTGTGTGTGTGTGTGTGTGTGTGTGAGAGAGAGAGAGAGAGAGAGAGAGAGAGAGAGAGAGAGAGAGAGAGAACAGAGGAGAGAGAACACAGAGAACGAGAGAGAGAGAGAGAGAGAGAGAGAGAGAGAGAGAGAGAGAGAGAGAGAGAGAGAGAGAGAGAGAGAGAGAGAGAGAGAGAGAGAGAGATTCCGAAGAGAAAGGAAAGAAGAAAGAGATAAAGAGGAGGGGTAGGGAGAAAGAGAGGAGAGTGAGTAGAGAAAGGAGAGGAAAAACATGGCGCTCGCGAGCTGTATGTGCAAAATCCGCAAGGAATTGCAGTAAATTCCTTTTTGTTTGAAGAAAATTTACAACTTGGTAATAGACCTTTTTATGACCTATTTGCGGTTGTCATTGGCTGCGGCTGGTCATGTGCAGGCGCCGCTCGCCTTCACGGCCTTTTTCCTGATTTCCCAGGCGAATTTGCCCCCGCATTCTGCTTTCCCAGAGCCTCACCCCCTCTTTTTCTAACCTTTGTCTCTGCAGAGGTGGGCTCCAGTCGCCGGCTGCGGGATCGCGGGGTCCGCAGCGGCCTGGGCTCCCGTCGCGACTCCAGGGCAGCTCGCCCCGGGTGCCCATCGCGGCTGCCTCCGGAGCCGGCAGGGAGCCCCGAAGGAGCCCCGGGCGCCGAGCCCCCCGCCGCGGCTCACACCCCTGCGGGGAGCCGCCCGCCTGC